AATTCTCGGAACTTTTCCAATACTTTCGGAGATTTCGCTCTTGACAGTCGTCCCGGACCCGTTGTTGGGTGTAGGGGAGGGGTCTTCCAACTTGCTCTAGTAGGCAAGTATCATGTTAATGTACGATTGCCTCTTCCTGAACTTAAATCTAATCTCCTGTAGAAGCAAGTACTCCACAGCATACGCATTGATGTGTCCTAGGTAGTAACTTGAAAAGTCATTTGTGTCCGTTTCCTTGATCCCTGTTGAGTAAAGTTGAATTCCGTTGATTGTTGATATCGAAGCTCTCTGCAACATCCAATTTCTATGGTGTTGATACGGTTTGTAAAATCGTAATGTCCTCCGTCGATAGTTGGTGGCTGTGAAGGTGTGTTGTTCAACCATGGAGGCGAACCAGCCCCAGGCTGAAAGCCTCCCTAATAAAGATAAATTAATTAATTGTTCAACCTTTGATATGAAATCATATGTTAGGCCTTTTTCTTCTTGCCTTTTGACGTTATCAACCTCCGATATATCCAGAACAACATGTGAAAAGGGCATACAAGCTTTTTGTAAACAAACCTTCTTATGCCCTTTTCTCGCCACCCATATGACACCAACGCAAACCTTTAACACCACCGGGTAGGGGACACTTTCCCCTTCCCGATGATATTGCTGGTTTGCGTGGGCGACTCTCGGTTGGTGAGAAAAAGGCCTACAAAGGTTTGTTTACAAAAAGCTTGTATGCCCTTTTTACATGTTGTTCTGGATATGTTGTTTAAATCTAGTTGCTAAATTTCTCTTGACTTAAATAGAATTAAATGGAAGTTACTAATCCTTCTATATTCGGCAAAGTTTTAAAAATTTCAGTGACGTTCCAAACACTTCAGCATGGTTCAAAATAGAGAGGGTCTAGTATAAGAGAGGAGCAGACTGGCTGGTTCTGAGTCAAACGAACTGTCAAAGCCAGACCCAACAAACAATTTTAGCTGCAGCTTAGCTTATACAGGCAAAAAAACGCTGCATAAGGCAAATTTTGGCTCTATAAGCTAAACTGCAGCTAAAATTGTTTGTTGGGGAGCCAATCGAGCAGTGCCTATCTTGATGTAATTGGCAGTGTTGTTAAAAATCACCTAGGCATAGGTTGCCAAGGCAGTTTGTTTTGAATTCGCTCCTCTCTTATACTAGACCCTCTCTAGTTCGCAAAACTTCAGAAATTATCGGAGAAATTCTGAGAAGTTCAAGCACTTGAGACAAGTTCCGAGAGCTTCAGCGAAGGTCTAAGAAGTTCAGCGAAGGTCCAAGAAGTTCAGCGAAGTTACAAAAGCTTCATCACCTTGTCAGTAAAGGCACGGTATTACCAAACCGGAGGCGGTGGGTTCGATTCCCGGTCCATTCGAGGGAATCTTTCGGGTTGGAAATTTATCAGGTGTCGCGTCGTCAGGCATCAACATATAGTATCCGCACAATATCGGTTGCCGATAGGGATGTCATCCGGATTATATGTAGTAATAAATTGTTATTTATATTAAACGGAAATTAAATTAACGAGGCATTCTGAAGTCCAAGATGGTGGCCATAGGGCTCAGAAAAAGTCTGAAATACCCTACAATATTGGCACTTTTCGAACGGGGACGACGAGAAGGTGCCGAAAATCGATGTCCAACGCCATTTTGGAATCCAAGATAGCGGCCATCGGGTTGCAGAAAAGTGTAAAATACCCTACGATGTAGGTATTTTCGGAACGGGTACGGCACGTACATGATGAAAATCGATATTCGGCGCCAATTTGGAATCCAGGATGGCGGCCATCGCTTTTCAGAATATCTTAGGATGGGTATTTTCGGAACGGGATCTACGCATTGATACCGAAATTCGATGTCCGACGCCATTTTGGAATCCAGACTTTCAGAAAAGTGTCAAATACCCTACGATATGAGTATTTTCGGAACGGGGACGACACGTAGATGCTGAAAATCGACATTCGACGCCATTTTGGAGTTCTTGGTGGTGGACATCGGGTTTCAGAAAAAGTGTCCATATTTATGAGTATTTGACAGTATTTCACACCTTTTCTGAAATCGGAAGCCACCATCTTGGATTTCAAAATAGCGTCCAATCTCTAGACTTCATCCCGATTCCAAAAACACCCATATTGATGAGTCGGCATCAGTATTTCCCACTTTTTATGAAAACGGAAGCCGTTATCTTGGATTTCGAAATGGCGTTGAATATCGATTTTCATTCTGTAGATGTCATCCCGATTCCAAAAATACCTGTATTGGTGAGTATTCGACAGTATCTGCCACTTTTATTGAGCCGGAAGCTGCCATCTTGGATTTCAAAATGGCATTGGATATTGATTTTCATTATCTAGGCGTCATCCCGATCCCAAAAATACCTATATTGATGAGTATTTGACAATATTTTCCACTTTTCCTTCAACTGGAAGCTGCCGTATTGGATTACATAATGGCGTCGCATATCTCTAGACGTCACTCCGATTCCAAAAATACCCATATTAATGAGTCAGCAATAGTATTTCCCACTTTTTCTGAAAACGGAAGCCGTTATAATGGATTTCAAAATATCGATTTTCATTCTGTAGATGTCATCCCGATTCCAAAAATACCTATATTGGTGGGTATTCGACAGTATCTGCCACTTTTTCTGAAACCGGAAGCTGCCATATAGGATTTCAAAATGGCGTTGGATACCTATATTGATGAGTATTTACCACTTTTTCTTCAACTAGAAGCTGCCATATACGATTTCAAAATGGCATCGCATATCATTTTTTGATCTCTAGACGTCACTCAGATTCCAAAAATAGCCATATTGATGGGTCAGCATCAGTATTTCCCACTTTTTCTTCAACTAGAAGCTGCCATATAGGATTTCAAAATGTCGTCACATATCAATTTTTGATCGCTAGGCGTCACCCCGATTCCAAAAATACGTATATTGATGAGTATTTGACAGTATTTCACACTTTTTCTGAAATCGTAATCCGGCCTCTACACGTATTCATTTGATCTTTGAAATCGGCCCAGTGGTTCAAAAGTTATGAATTTTTGAAACAAAAAATCGGTTTTTTGAACCACCCTAACAATGACAAAATATAAAAAAAAACGGGTCTAATATTTTGCGATAATGATCAAAACTACCATTTTTTACGACATTCTGAGAACGACTATATCGTTTTGCTATGGAATGGCTATACGCAAGTAACGTTGCAAGTTTTATCGAGGTTTTAAAGCATTATTTAAGTCTAATGACTAGTTAAAACCAAAATTGTTACTAGGGTGTACTAATGCAAGAATGGTACTGGTTTAGAAAGCTTTCAATTAACAACTGTGGAAGTGCTCAAAGAACACTAAATACCCAATGACAGCAGCCGCAGGAAAAGCCCGATCGGAGTAAGCCTACTTTTCGGATTGAAAACTAGTTAGAACCAAATCGACTTCGGTTAGGTATCTTTATGTCATTTGTACAACTGTCAAATTTTCCGAATGCGTTCCGGTGGACAGTCCCAGAAAGAAGGCGGATGATATAATGTTTGACTAAGTTATAGTGGCTCATAACCCAAGTAACCATAGGCACGTTATTTCGCCTTTTTGGCTATATACGGGCCTCATCAGAACTTGCAAACACTGGTATAGCCGTTGCTCAGCTGTATATAGCCAAAAAGGCGAAATAACGTGCCTATGGTTACTTGGGAAGAATTGAAGAAGACTCTTCCATTTTTCCCCAGAAGAAGTGGCATTCTATTTCACATGGAAGTATCATTATAGCTTCCGTGAGATTCACCTCTCCTGGAACTTTCTTCCGACTCACCAGAAGTCCTTGTGACTTTCTTTGGAAGTGTCTTCTGACTTCCACGGGATTTTTTTTTCACATTTCACGCGAAAATTCCTTCCGACTTTATCTGGAAGCCTCTTCCGACTTACTCTGAAAATTTCTGTCGCCTTGCCCCGGAAGTTTACCCGGCTTCTATCGAGTTCGCCCGGATGCTTCTTCTGACTTCGTATGAAAGTTTCCTAGGCAGTTTCATCCAATTTTATTCGACAATTTCTTCAAACGTTCCTACAAAAAGCTTCCGGTCTCTGGAAGTGTCTTCTGACTTCCGCGGATTCCGTTAACATATTTTCCTCAGAAGTTTCATCTGACTTCCACCGGAAAACTCATTCGACTTCTCCTCGAAGTTTCTCCTGACTTCCTCAAAAGTCCATCGTAATTCCCCTGTAAGTGCCTTGTTTCTCCGGAAATTGCATTCGACTCTACCCGAAAGTTTCGTTCAACGGATAGATTCTTATAATTTCCCACTGGAAGTCAAAAAGTGTTCTTGTCAATCTAAAAATCGGGCCAAGGGAAAGGTTTGAAAATGTAAAATCGGCCGAAGTTTTCCCGGGAAGTCGAACCACATTCCCGGGAAACGGGAAATGCGAATTTTGATAAATTTTCCGGGATGTCCCGGGCAGGAAACACTAATCTCAATTAATAACTGTGGAAGTGCTCAAAAAACACCAAGTTGAGCAGGGACGTGATGAAGCCAAAGAAGACGAATGAGATGTGTCACCCCTCGTGCGTCAGCGCCATATTGGTTGACCCCAATGCTGTCTCAGAAAGAATTAAACTCTTTTATTATCCCATTTGCTATTTCGGGTGCTCGATAATGGATCTTGCGGGGCAGCACATTAGATCACACCGTCGTCATCGGATCATGGTTAATTAGCCTTGCACGTCTTGTTTTTTGCCTGTTACTTTTGTTTTTTAGGTTATGTTTACCCGAATGGTCGCCGCTCGCACATATTCCGAATCGTAAAAATTCAATTTAACACGCCAAAATTGAAGGCCGCTCGGCCATCAAATCTCTCGAGGGAGCATCGGATTTATGGGTTAAAACTGACTTACCGGGCACGCAGTTAATTATTCACCCCGAGCAAGGGAGAAAAAAAGCGCAATCCACATTGAGTAACCCGTACTAAAAATCCATTATTTTTCCACGTCTCTATTTGCAGCAAGCTGAAAAGAAGGAGAAACTATCGACCACCGCCACCACAGCTGCCAGCATGGATGGGTCGCTGAGCGCAGCCACTACCACCACGGCGCCGGCCGCGACCACGACCAACGTTTCGTCTCCGCTGGCGTCATCAACGATTATCGAGCAGAATGGCGTTACGCCACCGTCCCCATCGACGACCCCCCTTTCCGACGCTGGCAGTGTCAGTGGGAAGCTGATGGAACCCGGCAGCAGTCCGGACAAACCCGGCACCTTCGATGGTGGTGATTCGCGGTTGGATCTGCTAAAGGACGCCAAATCATTCAGCTTAAACAATAACAGCATCAGCAGTAACAACAACAACAACAACAACAACAAAAATGACAGTTGTAGTGGAGGCAGCAGTAGTAACAGAGTCAGTCCTGCTCTGGAGAAGGACGGCGACAGCCGGTCCGGTGTAAATAGTAACGACCAGCAGCCTAGCAGTAACGACAAAAGTAGTAACAATGTGCATAGTAACAGTAACAATGACAGCAGCAACAGCAGTAGCAGCACCGAGGGAAAGGAAAGTGGTGAATCGAAGGCGGCGACGGTGACAGAGTCGGCGGCGGAGAGCCGAACGACGAAATCCCTGGCGGAGGAACTGTCGGCGAAAAATAGAGAGGTAGGTGGTGACCTGTTTTGACATTTCACGTTCTGCGTTGCTACCTGGCGTGTTTTTGCACGCTTATCTGTTTCGTTTGGGAAGAATAAGGAGATTGGTTCGGAACAAAAGCCGGACCCCGATTTGATCGAGATCCTTTCTCATTTTTTATGACCGGGGGCGTAGTGCGGGGGAAATGGAAAATTACTGACTGTCCTATTCCTAATCTGATTAATCGAGAATTTCGCCGGGACCCCTCCCTAATGATGCTCCTGCAATCTGAGACCGCGACACTGGTTGTTCGTTTTCCCATTTTTTTTTTCTCATTCGGGAAGAAAATAAAGAAAATCCTTTTGATTAATTTCACCACATTTTTTAATTAAATCCTCTCCGTTTCGTGTGGGGGGACAGGACACTGCGTGTGCCCGCGAGCGAGGGTGAGATCAATGCCCAAGAAAAGAAAAAAAAGAACAGGCGACCAAAAACAAGCTTTTGATTTATATTTACTGAAAATAATGGAAAACTTTTCTTCTCCTTTGTTATCCTTGAAGCAGAAGAAAAAGAGTTCCTTTTTTCACCTTCTCGCAGGAAAAAAAATAAAACCAAGCGGGGAAAATGTTTCAAATAACAATACAATCGCTTTTTTATTACGTCATTTATACACAATTCATTGAATTTCGCTTTCCTTCCCCTCGCGATTCACGCACTTCCTCTCCCTACGCTCCTTACACACTCGTGGCAGTTCCCGGATCTTCCGTTTTTTTTCTGCTTCTGGCGAGGGTATCGAAACAACTTACTTTTCTATTCTCGGCGTTCTTTTTATCGCTTTGTTTGAGCAGGCCGAACCAAACATTTGGGGGCAATCTTTCCAGCCATCGTTACAAATCGAAACATGGTTGCGGGCAATCCTACCCCTCCCGACCCAGGCAGAAACGTCAAATCATCATTGACGCACGCATTGTTGTTTCGTGGGCGGGAAAGCCGAGAATCGCTTGTTGATTCCCACATTCTGAGTCATCTTTTTGGCACCTTCGAGGAATGAGAGAAAACAAAACTTCAAAGGACCTCCTCGCCTCGTTGAACACTTGAAGAATTAGCTAGATACACTCCTAAATCCACTTAGTGACCTTCGCTCCCCTCCGATGAAAGGTCGAACAGGAGAGATGCCCTTTTCAACGACTTCCTTCGGACCGGGAACAGCTGGTGGTTGTTTACTTAGGGCCGGTCCACTTTGATTTATCATCACTTCCCTCTATCCTACCTCGGGTGTGTCTTTGTCGGGAGGGATCAAAGGCATTGGGAAAATTGAAAATCTGACCGAAGACGGAGAAGAAGACCCTCATTTGCATCCATCGTCTTGCAAGACGACCAGCATTAACCTCCTGGACACGGAGGCGTCAGAATAAATATTCCAAACAGGTTCGGGATCACTTTTCAGCTCAATTTTCCAATCACCTTCTCCGGAAAAGTACCGCAAACTGTGAGAAGCGATAAATTGTTCGACCCCTAAAGGCCGTTTTGGGGGGTGGAAAAAAGTTGTCTTTATTGAGCTGAGATTTTTTTCTTCTTGGTGTGTCCTATCCCCCCTCCACCGGTGACGGTGCAATCGCAGGCGAAAAAGGTCTCAGATCGAAGGCTACCGCAGCCGGAGGAGGATGTTTACACAAATTCCGGTCGCTGTTTGCTCTTTCGTTCAAGAAGTTGCTTGCTCCTCGAAAATCGAAGAAGGCGGCGGCGAGGGCAACAAAAAGGATTTTATTGTTATTGGTTTACGCCACACTTATTTTTTTTTGTTCACCCGCTGGCGGGGGATAGGAAAGTGGAAAACTTTCCACTTGATTTGTTGACGGTGGAATTTTCACACCACCAAGAGGAACGGAAAGAAAAAGGAAAAGTAAATAAACAGTATCAAATTTCCCGGCAAAAGGGTCCCGGAAGGGCGTGCGAAAGGCGTTTTAGCGGAGGGGGGAAGGAACTTCGAATTTGAGCCACTGATAGGTGATTATCTTGTTTACATCGGCTGGAACGTGATCGAATCGACTCGGTTGCTCGGCTTCCGTTTTGGGGCCGAAGACGAGGGTATAAAAAATTAATAACTCTATAAGCTGTTTGTTTTTTCGCCTCTTCGGATTTATTGACGTGAGAAAGTTACTGCCTGTGCGATGCTTGGTGGGATCAGGAGCGATTACTATTGATTTTTGGGGGGGTTCTGGTCTTCGTTCGAACCAGACGACGAAGACGACGACGACGACTTGGAAGGGAAGAAAACAATAACAACTTCCTCCTTCAGGGGCGTAAATCCGAAATTGATCTATAAAAAGTTATGCAAAGGAATTTTACGGGTTTAAAGTCGATTTTCGGGGGAGGAAGTTGGATGCTTCGAATTTGATGCCTGGCATTTTGCGGGTGGTTTAAATGGCTATTCATGGTTATGATATTGATTTCTACGGCCATCAAACAGCGCCATAACGATCTGCCAGGGAAATTTTCACACCTTTCTTTAGGATTCCCCCTTTTGCCAGGGAAAACACCATAAGCCGGCATAAATAATAGAAGCCACCAGACACTGGCCGTCTGTTACTACTTGTGCTACCCAACACCGCCCGGTTTATACTGCAATCCATAATTCCCATCCCGTGAGACCGGTCGGCAGGGGGGGGGGGGGGAAGAGAACAGGACCAGGACTCCCGAAAAATTAGCCAAGTCCGTGTACGACGAGAACCGAAAACCGGGGAAAACTTGCTCCCTACTGCAGCAGTAGTATTTTGTTTTATTTCATTAATTTTCTCCTCGGGTTCACACATTGGAAACGTGGTCATGGAACTCCTTCTGGCTCCGTGCACAAACACACACACGGAAGATTCCCAAGGCAAAGGCACACAGCGCCAAGCGCAGCAGGGCGATATATTGGTTATTTATTTTTTTGGTGCAATGTGGTGGCGGCGGCCGGCCCCATTCTTCCCTTCCCAAAGCGACTTGTCGGGAGTTTGCATGAAGGAGGAAGAAAGTTGGTTCTGCTAAATTTGTCCAAGGCTGAAGCGAATAAGGCGCGTTGGTGGTACATTAACATGTACATTTTTAGTCTTTAGCTGAGGGTGGCGTGGGGGGGGGGGGATTGAGGGGAGGGATTCGATTTCGGAACTCTAATTTACACAAGTCCCAGGTGGGATTAAGGAGTGGGTTGCTTTTGGTGGTGGTAACTGAACTTGAATAAGGCCTTTCATGTTAAATTGAGAAATTGCCCTCTCGAATGAAGATTTCAAGAGCCGAAACGTTCAAGGACAAGATGACTGCCATTTATGATTAAGAATTCAAGAAAACTTTGAATTTTGAGTTACGGATTGACAGCTTTAATGTGATAAAAATCACTCTTAGAGCTTAAGCTAAAAATATCGAGTATGGAATCAAAAGACATAACCTTGCCTGTTATTATCATTTCCGAATTTGAAAAAAAAAACGGTATACTGAAGAGTATCCTGTCTGATAATTTGTAATCTTTAGTTTTTTTTTTTTTTATTAAAGAGACTTGTAGCCTTGGGCTGGTTCGTCTCTCGATAATCTTTAGGTAAGCAACGTGAACTTCGGGACAGTTCCGAAAATTTCAAGTCAGTTCCATGAACATCTAGAAAAATAGTGAGAACGTCAGGGAAGTTCCGAGAACTTCAGGTAGATTTCTAGAACTTTAGGACTGTTTCATTATTTTCGGGAGAGTTTCGGGAAGTTCCAAACATTGAAGTACAGTCCATAAAACTTCAGGGAAGTTAAACGAACTAAATAAAAATTACAAAAACTTTACAGAAATCTTTAGGTCGATTCCAGATCATCATCAGTAAATTATTGAGCGCTTCAGGGAAGCTTTCTGAACATCAAGAAAAAATAGAGAACAGCAATCTCATAACCTTCAAAAAATTGCTGGAATTTTGAAGAAGTTTTTGTGGAATGGAAATGCTGATATTTTCAAGGAAGTTTCATAAACAATCTCCGAGAACATAAGGAAAGTTCCGAACAATTCTGAAATATTTTTGAAAATTCAAGGAAGCTAAAAGAACTTCAAGACTTGCTTCAAGAAAACAGCAGAACTGTTTAAGCCGGTCTGAGAACTTCAGTAATATCCATAAAAATTCATAGAAGTCATGAAAACTTCAGAGATGTAGAGAGAACTTAAATAAAATTGTGGATTTATACAGACATTCAGAGATCGTATGGGCAGTTCCTATAACTTCAGGGAAGTTCCGAGAACTGCTGGGAAGTCTAGAGTTTGTAACTTTTGAAGACTTCCCACCGTATTTGGCGCGAACGTCTTCACTAGCCAGCCGAGCTAACTCACCTCTTTAATAATTCTCACGAAATTGAACTAGTGACTAGTGGAAACTCACCTGCCCCTTTTGCTGCCGAAAGCGAACCAAACTGAAATCAATTTTCGGTGCAAACAAGAAAAGTATTCAAAGCAAACATTTACGGAAAGCAAACTAACTAACAGTTTATTCAAATATTTAACTCCAAAATTTATTGGAAATTTACTTCCAGAATAAAAAAAAAATAAGAACGGACTCACTGTACTCGTTGCTGCTCCTGCTGCTGGTCGTGATACCGTCACCACGGTACCGTCGGAGGCTGCACCGCACCGCACCGATTCTCCACCGGTCGACGTCTGCTGTGCTGAGCTTCACCGGGTCCCAACCGGCTGGGGGAACTCCTGCTACTACTGCGTCCGGTTCCGACTTCGGTCGGAGGTGATCTTCACGGTGGATGGCCGTATGTTGACGGACGACCTTTGGCAAACCTGGATAGCGTTTGGTTTAGTTCACACTCGCGACACCTTGCAATTCCGGTCGGCTAACTTCACGGACAGTCTATGTGCCGACTTCTAACGTCTTGACCGGTTTGCGACCTCTCACTCCACTACTGGTCTCAACGTTGGCGATAAGTAGGTCCAGAGCCTCGTGGTTGTCTTACAAGTTACACCGAAATCACTTTCCGCGAACCGTAATAACTGTTTGTGAACCAAATCACTATTTGCT